CCGAATCGTGTCGCGTTTGCCGCTAATTTTCAACTTTGTCGCGGACGGATCTAAATGCAAACACGGGCCGAAATAATACGCGAGCCGACTTAGCTTCGAACGCGTCCGATTCGCACTCGATACACGTACGTGTCCGCGCGCGACGTAATTGCCGGGTGCATAATTTCCAGGAGAACTAATTCTACTTTGTGCAGTTCATTATCCGACGTCACTGCGCGCTAATTGAAACGAAAAGCCGACGGTTTCGCTAAAACACGGCCCGTACCCCGGGGAATTTTAATAAAATGTAATCGGATCGAGAAGCGACCCGCAACGTTTCGCCAAACTTTTGGTTTACCTTTTAAGGGAAAATTTCGAATTTGAATATTTTTTTTTCCCCCGTATCCCGATTTAAATTTCGGCCTCGGTCAAAGGCTCGGAAGTTGAGTGCACTCGGCTCCTATGGATTTCCTCCGGCGGGACTTTAGCCAATGGACTCTTTACGGCCGCTCTCTCGCGACCTGGTGCAGATTTTGCATACAGAACGAATCGTAAACCAGGCTTCTTGAGATAGGTCCTGCTTTCGCGGGGAAGTGTTTCCTCCCTCTAAAAATCATTGTTTCATTATCTTGGAATTTACAGTAAAGAAGCAGGGCCTTAACTCGAAATCTCGACCGCTCTCCCGGGAGCGCGGCCTAACCTCTCCAGGGACGGCGTGTCGGCTCTCCGATACGCTTTATATCGCTGGATTTTTCCTTCCTTTATCCGGATATTTCGGTTCCTCGTTCGTAAAAATGCTCCGGATTCTCGAATGAATACCGACCGGAGTTATTCGAATGCAAATTCTGACGTGACCGTAGCCACGAGTCGCACCTTCGCTCGGGATAAATCCGCCCGAAGACGGATCGAGCATCCGTGAGCCCAGCAACGCGTTCGGCTAACTATCGGCCAAGTTCCGTCGGAGTTTGATCAATCTGCCTTTAGTTAAATCCATACTCCCATAATTCCGGAGCAGCCAAAGTCCTAAACTACGATCCGCGTTCCCTCGACCGTCCGTTTCTCGCGGATCTCTCCCGTGACTTCTACGTCGGGTTATTTCCGGCTAATGTCCCGCCGTCCTCGGTCAAGGTGCGAACTCGATTCCCCGAAAACACGGGGTGTATTTACTTTCGTCCGCGTAAACTCCGGGAAATTAGTTAACGCCTCCCGTATAATTTCCGTAATTATTCGGCTGTAAGGGAATCGTCGAATTTCGGAAGTTGGGGACGAGCGACGCCCACCGTGGACGCGGAGAAGTTGGATACTTACCGTCCCCTGGGAGTGGCAAGTTCCCGGCGCACCTTTTCGAAGCGGCAACGGCCATACTTTGTGGGAAAAAATGGAAAGTTCCCGGGGGAAGAAGCGCTATATAATTTGAAATGGTTCCGAGAGGTGGCGAGGATCCTCCGGGGTTGCAGTCGATGCCTTAAAGTTCGTTCCTTACGGTTCCTCGAGGGTGGCAAGTTATTTCCCGGGAAAGTAGCCGCCGTGGCTCGTTGAGCCGACGAGGCGCTCCGTTGAACTCACGACGTGCCCTGCGAAAACGCTATTTTCCCGGCGCAAGGACGCCGACCCGGAAGTGGACTCGAACCTGCGCGCGGCGACGGCGCGGGCGCACCGTCTAATTTCCCGGCACTCGACTATGTGAAATAATAATTTTTTTAATCGATAACATATTTCTCTGGTTCAATGAGGTCTTTTGTCAGGGTATGTACCACGAAGGATTTTTTCCCGTATGCGAGGGGAACGCAGGGCCACGATGTATTCTTGTCGACGTTTAAGAGGCCTTATCCCATCGCGACGACTCCGGTGGAGAAAAGTTTCGTGAAAATTGTCGACGAAAATTGATCGTCCTCCACCATGGGAGTTTCCGGGGCTGTACGTACGAGCGTGAGCTCGACCTCTCGAGTTCCGGTTTCCCGCCCGGCCGTGGAAAAAGAAGAATCCTCGTCTGAACTTACACGCCATTTTCCCCTGCCCCGGGGTTAGGTGCAATATGCACCGCTAATTGAACCACTGAATTAGAGCAGCACGAAGGAATTCAGGGAGCGCTTTTTTCCGGGGTTAATTCTCTTTTCCTATTTTTCGAGGGAATCCTTCCTGGTGCGTAACGCTCGTCCTAATTCTTTTATCATTTCCCGAGTAAGAATTTTTTTTGTAATCGAATACAAAAATACGGAATGATCTCGCAATATCTCCGGAATCTCCGGAAAATAATATAAGGAACGCCTAAATCCGATTTTCGCGGCAAGGGGAAATAATTTTTAAGGGGGTGACAAAATCTCATCCGGGCTCCCGAGAACGGGCGGTTAATATCCGAGATTAATCGGATGAAAGTTGCATCGAAGGGGCCGGTTTAAATGGAAATTACAGAATGCTCCCCGTGAAAAATGGCGCGAACAAAGTTCCGGGGAAAAGTGGACTTTAACCCATTCACCCCAGCTGGTAACTAAAATTGCCGCCCCGGAAGTTCGGGCCGCTCTCTCGCCGTCCAGAAAATAAATCCCCCATTGGTCTCTTGCCGCTGTTTGCAGCCACTTCGGCTCTTTAATTGAAAATAACGATACGTGCAAGCGCGAGTCAACGGCCTTCCCGAAAAACCGAGAAAAAACCCCTCGTAAATCGAAAGGAATCGAATTCCCGCGAGAGGAAAATATCGTCCACCCGATTTTTCGAGCCCGCGATCGAGTTCCCCTGCTTTCTCAAAATTTCCACCAAAAGGGAAGAGCGACTGCACAGCTTCCTCGATTCCTCCGCGTCTTTCGGATTTCACGGCCCGACACCTCCCCTGGAACGGAAACGAACGAAACTCAAGAATAACGAGTCCGTCTTCCATTGTAAACCCCGGGAGTTTATGAAATACAAAACGCGCGAGGGAGACGGAAAAAACGAGAAAACGAGGTAAAAACCGAAAACCGCCAAACGGGCTCGCAAAAGTGCGGGATATTTCAGCGTGAAAAGTGCTTTTCGGAAAAATCCTCGCCGCTCCGGGGGAGGGATTCTCTTCGCAATCCTCGTTAGTCATGCGCGACTATCGTGGAAATGGCCGCTTCGGGCGGCGTATTTTTGCTCTCATTTATGACGCAGCTGGAGAACAAAAAAAGAGCGGAGGACCCGTCCATAAAACTCTAACCACGCAATTATGAAAAGTTTCCCACGCCGTTTCCCTCTCGAGCTCTCGCGTCGCGCCGCGCCGCGTCGCGCCGCGTGGCGTGGAGTGGAGCGTCGCGGCGTTCATCACGTGCCGCGCGACGCGGTCCCCTCTCGCGGAACTCCCTCGTAAACAAGTTTATCGTAGTCCCGAAGAATCAGCGTCACCTTTTCCATATCCTAACACGCGTCTAACCTCTCTCCCTCTCTCTCTCTCCAACCCGTCGAAAAGTTCGAGCCGAGAGATAGCCCGAGCGTTTCGGCTCGCTAATACCTTGTAACACATGCGACACGTAATCCGAACCTTGGGCGACACATGCAGAGCGCAGTTACTCGCTCCTACTCGGGGAAATTCCCTCGACCGATTACACGGAGGCGGGAAAGTCGCGGGAGAATTTTCCTTTCCCCCCTTATTCTCTCTGCGTCGGTTGAGGGAAATGTCGCGGCCAATCGTCGGGCGATTTCGCGAGGGGCAAAATTGCCCGTAAAATCGATTCGGTTAAGGGAAATGCGGGAAATCACGCGAGCCGGCTAAAGTCCCGGCGTTGCGCGTTGGATCAGGTCAGTTAAGGCGGCGGAAACCGCCGCCATCTTGGCGTGCCGGTGAAGCCTGCGGCTTTCGGCGATATATATGCTCCCAGAGCCGATAGCAACATTATCTCGCGTTACCGAATGTTTACGTTGGTTGGGTAACGCGCCCGTCGACATGTGCTTCCTAACCGGTGGGAACGTGCCGAATATAAATCAATTCCGTATCCATCGGCCGCTCCCGAGCAAATATCCAAGATGGCCGCGAGAACTTGTTCTCAATTTTCTGGAGAGATTTTTCCCGAGTCATTTTCGGAGAAAAGTTTCCCCTGCTCGAGCGGCCCGGTTTCGGGCAATTACGTGCAAATGCCGCGGGTAATTGCGCCGCATGCCCGGCGACACGTGGAATCGAAACAAGACTCTCATGAAAAGTCATGGCGGGCCGGGCGCATGCAGATGTTGAATTTCGATCCGGCCGTAGTTGGATATCCCATTTCCCCGTAGGGTCGCAATCTCCTTCGGCGTACCTGGGACCACAAAGGGAGCCTTAAATCGACCTGGAATAACTCATGAAAATTCATGTCGCGTGCTACCGCCATGTCGCGGAATTCATGCGTTCAATTTCGATATGTCCCCGTAATAACGTATCTCATTTCTCCGACGCATTAGACGATATAAAAAGGACTCCTCGGTCGGAACTAAGCCTGACGGTTGTCTGGTGGCACGTATGTCCGTTACGGTATAATTAACCCGTGTATAGAAATCCGGGACGACCGGCGCTCGCGTATTTATAGGCGAGCACGACTGGTTATCTAGCCGCGCAAAAACCGCCTTCGTGTCCGCCTGCATAAAGCAAACTATTAGCCGATTTAAAGCCGCTCGTAAAAATTTACGCCGCCGCGGAACGCGGCGCGGGGGTTGCGTAAAGAGGCATCCGGGAAGGATATTCGAATTTCGACGTCATCGCGATCGAAAGAAACGCCGCTTTTATCGCTCCGACTGAGAAGCGTACGAGTCGCCATTTTGTGCGATCGAGAGGCATCGTCCAAAAGGATACGTACAGCTCACGTTGGAACATTCTTTTTCCCCGATGGGGAAAGGTCGAAGAAAAATCTTGTTTCTTTCTCCGGGAAATTATTTCTTTCTTCCACTCGGGATAATTACCGCGGCCGCTATCGCGCGTTATCACGGCTGTCGACAACGCTCGAGTGGTCGATACCGGTCGCTTTGGACTTTTTGATCGGAACAAACGACAGTCGCGAAACTAACGGCGACGTCGTTAGTCCTCGTGGAAACTCGAAGAGATCCAAGATGGCCGCCGAAGTCGCTCGGATTCGCTCGAGGTGTCCGATGTCGGATGTCGACCGGTCGAGCGCGAACAGTCGAGTGCTAATCAAATTGCATTCCGAATCGAGATCGAAGTCTTTCGCCCTGCTCGATTACCCTCGTCTGGCGCACAATCGGGCTTGATTCGATCGCGTTCAAAGAAGCGTACATCCACGCCTCGGCCTCGAATTTTCGCACCTTCGGTCGCCTCCGCACAGGTATTCGTCGAAGTGATCCCCTAAAGGCCGGCACACACCGAACGAATATTGCCGTCGAACGTACAAGTTCGTTAGGGTCGGTCAAATCGAAGTCCGTAAAATGTTGCATTTTTGAAAATTGAACATCGAAAATGTGCATTTTTTGGACTCGGCTGGTGCGGCGGTTGAATCCTCTCTTTTTCTTGGGGTTAGGTTGGTGCCGGAACTGCGCGATACGCGACGTTGTTGCAACGACTTGTCGGTGGTTTACGAGCTGGAATTCTTTCTTGTCGGCTAACAGTGCGGCGTTTAGAACGCGCCTCGAAGGAGTGCGCATAGCTCTCCCTATCTACCCAGCCATAACCCATAACCCATTTTGATCCAATTTTGATACGTTAGAGTATTCACCGCGCGTATACCTTTTCCCTATCTTCAGGGCCATAATCCATAACCCATTTTGATCAATCTTCGAGCCTCGGCGTGCTCGCCGCGAGAGGAATCTCCGCGGAATCGTTATCTCCTATCTCGAGGAGTTTCGAAACGTCAACGTCGTCGTTGAATGGCGCGCCGCGAGAGCGCGTTGGCGCTCCCCTTAAGAAATTCAAATCTCTCGATCCATGGAAGATGGAATATCGAGCGAGGGCTCGTTCCCCTCGTAAAGAATCGCGGTTCTTAAAAAAAAAAATCGAGACCCACGGAAAAGGAGAAATGACCTTTTAACCGCCATTTTGGACCCCAACTCGCACCTCGTGGAGCCGATTTCATGGAGTGACTGAAAAATTCCAAAAAAATTCTGAAACAATCGCGGGACAAGATGGAACTCTTCCTCGATGTCTCGTTCAACTGCCGGAGACGCGGGAAAAGTCGCGGGACGAATTTCGTAATCTAATTGTCGTCGGTGTGCCGAATTTCCTGGAACTTTGACGTAAGCTTCAAAGCCCCGCGCCGGCTAGAATTAAACCTAATCTCGAAGTTCCAGGGCGCGCAGAAATCATTTTAAGCCGGGCTGAGCTCGGTCTAAATCTTGCCGAAAAGCGTCGGTAAATAACGTAGACTGAAACTGGTTTACTTCGGCTCTGTGAAGTTCACGCAATAAGGTCCCGGGGTAACGAGGTCCCATTTTGCCTTAGCGAGCCTTATCGTGCGAACTTCCTCGAATCGGCGAGCCGGTATCCTTTTTTATTTTCTTTGCCTTCGCAAACAGTAAATGGGTCATAATTGAGACGCTCGTTTCCCGGAAGGCGTCCAAAGAGTCAGACGCGCCTTTTAAGCGGAGATCTTCGGAGGATCGGCCACGGCCGCGGATCCGCCATTTGGGTACAGACTACGCGCGCGTTACCGAAGCCGCCAGAAAATTCCCCCCCTCGGGACTCGAGAAAATTTACTGACTTTTCCGGAAACCGTCGATTCAGGTTTCTCCCCGACCGATGTTTATGAAAATGCGAAAGAAAAAAAATCCCGAGACAAGAGGTAGATTTTCTTCGTGTTCCTTCGCCTCTAATTTCCTTCGCCGTAACGAATTAGATGACGCAAACGGCGCGCGCATTATGCGCTTATTTTTGCCTTTTTGCGAAATTGAAAATTTTCTCGCGATAACGAGCCCCGAAGAGAAGCCCCCGTGATTTCGATACGCGGCACCTTGGAGGGTATTTCAGGACTTTTAGGGAAATTGGTAAAATTCGAGGGCGGGCATTTTTCTTTCACGCGGATGACTTCTTGTTTGTCGAACTCCTTGTCACGGTCTCGGTACATGTTCGGACTATTGTTTGTCCGGGGCTTTCAGATATCCGAGACAACATTCGATCTCGATAGAATTTGATTCCGATGAGTCATAAGATCCAAGCATCTTGATCTAACTGGATTAGCTCGATTTTTTTTCTCCTGTCTCAGGTGTCGACTCGAGGTGCGAGTATTAATACCCAGGAAATTTTAGAAGTTGTCTTCAGACGACGGAAGTCGTCGCAACTGAAGATGACGTCCGATCGAATAAAACGACCCGGTGGATCCATTTTTTCCGGAGCACCTAAAAAACCAAGACTCGGGAAAAAAAGTCGACGCGAGCGCGATCGAATTTTTATCGGATTCGGCCAATCGGCCACGCGAGATAACGACCGGCCTCGAATACGGAATTCGATTCCCTCGACTTGGAAGTCTGAAAATCGAGATCCAGCCGGTTTTGCTTTCCCTTTGCTTCGGCCATCTTGACGGAAGTATTTATACGCGAGGTGTTCCAGATGACGCCCTCGATAAGTTCGGCAGAGTCGGAATTAATCTGATCACGGGTTCAAAAGGAATTTCATACAAACAAATCACGAGCGATCTCCGCAAGGCCGATCGGATCGTCGCATTGAACACTGGTCAAGGGGAAATTTTCCAGCTTCTTCTACTTTGGCCTTGTGAGATTCCTCTACGAGTTGTCCGTTCAAGCCCAACCACGCACGTCCGACCATGACTTTCCGAATCCCCTTGTGACGAGATCGTCCGACTTACGTGCTCCAAAGTCTTGTCTCTACGTTTCAGACATTTCATCAGGAAATCCCTTCGCAGAGGGGATACCCGATACGAAGGATCCTGATTCGTTTCGACCCCGTCCCGATCGGAGCGAGTCAGGATTTTCGCCGTTTCTATAAATGTCGGATTACGTCTTTCAGACAATTCTTGACAGGCGGGGAATCGCGGGGGACGGCATGGAAAATACCAAAGGGGGCGGAGGAAAACCGGGGCGCAACCGGTGTTCCATTATCGAGGCGGTAAACTCCGGGATCCGAAGAGTCCTGGAGGGACGTCTTCGGGGATGCAACCTTGACACCCCGGGATCGACCCTCCCGAACCCTAGGGACCTCCCCTGGACCCCCGGAGATAGGCTCGACCAGGATCAACTCGATTTCCGATCCCCCTTTTCGCGTTTTGGCACGTCCGGACCCCGCGATGGCTCCCTCGGAAAAGGAACGAAAAGTCCTGCTTTTGGCAGCCGCGAACTTCCTCCGGGGGATGCTTTTACTCTAATGGCGCACTTCGTCCTTGCGGGAATGTCCCTCGGACGCGTAGCGAGGATCCTTACGTACTCTTAAATTACGGAAGCGCGCAGTTACCGCCGGTTATTTGTCTCCCGAATGAGGGGCCGCAGGGGGGGCGGTAATTCAGGGAGACTGTTGCTGCGACGAGATCTTCCCGATCGTTTTTATCTCGCTTTAATTTGCGACCGGGTTGGAAGGTCGCGGGAGGTGAGATTCGGGCTCTTGCCGGGGCTCCGAAGGGGTTTCCTCCAGACCTCGAGGTGATACGAAGGGGTGACGCGCAAAATCTTGGTTTCGCAAATTTCGTCGTTTCCAGGACCTCCACTTTTTGCAAAAAAATGGATAACCAGCAAAACCAATTTTTCTTGTCATCCTATTCTCGAAGTCATGCGATCAACTTTCGCAAGCGAAATTGACAATTTCGTATACGCCTTTTACTGGCATCGGTGTGAAATTCTTCATACGAAACTGTTCGCGTGCGAAAGAAAAAAAAATCAAATAAACTCGAGAATCGGACCCCAGGCCTCCGGATCGACGCGAGTCAGCTGATCGGTCGGCGTGTTCGTCGGCTCGTCTTAGAAGCGATTCGCGACATCGCTCCAATTGGCGTCGTCGTGGCAACGACCGCGGCCGTTTGGCCTATGCACCATTGACACCGGTCACGAGTGCTCGCGCCAAGAGTGACTCAAGCCTAGCACGCGCCGAGCGACGTCGCTTTAGCCGAATAACGTATGGAGGTGGGACCAGCGTTTGAGTGGGGGATCGAGAAGAGGGAGTCGTTTGCCCGAGCGGCTCGATAAACAGCGTGCCGACTGAAGATAAGAGGAGTGGGTCTTTGGGTCATTGGCATAATAAGCTCGAAGTGCTTCACCTAGACAGTAGTCAGTCCCGGGTAGTGCTTCGATCCACCAGCACTCCTCGACACCCACCAGCCTCCTGCCGGTCCAAGAACCATCCGACTCCTTTGAGCGCATTCTGCATCTCCTGGACCCCTCCGATAGCTCTCTTCCTACTTACCGTCGCCATTTTGGAGAACGCCTCCGAAGACTGACCGAAACGTTGCCCGTCTAGAGCCGGGCTGCACCGTAGCGATGGACTCCTTCATGGTCATCGACTACCTGGTCTTCGTGGGTTTCATCGTGGTGTCCTTCGTCATCCCGCTATGGGGCAAGTTCAGGGCGAGGAAAAAGGAGACCAAGGCTGACTACGTCTTCGCCACTGGCAAGGTCTCCATGGGCGCCATGATGCTGTCCATCGCTAGGGGAACGCTCGGGGTGCGCTCCTTTTTAGGCTACCCTTCCGAACTGTACTATAGAGGCACCGCCATGTGGGAGACCCTTTATGGGATGCTTCTGGCGTATCCTATCGTCTGCTACGTCTTCGTCCCGGTTTATTACAACCTCGGGATCACCTCGGTGTATCAGTACCTGGACATGAGGTGAGACTCCTTTGCGATTTTTTTTTTCTGGTTAGTCCACTGATCGCGACGAGCGTTTGGTGTATCGTTTCCATCTTGGTGGTCCAGGTTCAAGTCCAAGCTGGTGCGATGCCTGGCCAGCTTCTCCTACGTCATTAGGAGTCTCTTGAATCTGGCGGTGACGGTTTTCACCCCTTGCGTAGCCCTGAAGACGGTCATCGGCCTACCGTACTGGGCCAGCATCTTCGGGATCACCACGATCTCCGTGGTCTTCACTATCATGGTGAGAAATAATTTAAAATATCTTTATGGTATAGTCTTGAAGACCTTCGCGCGCTACTCCATCCTCGAGACCGTGAACTCGTACCAGGTTAAATAAATTTTATTTATTCAATTCTACCTGCTTCATCCGTTGCACTTTATTCATAATTGAGAGCGAAAAAATGAGCGACGAGTTTACATCTTGAAGAAGCGACGCTAAGGTGCTTCCGGGCTTCTCGTTAAGGAGTAATTACGGGCTGCTCGGATAATGTGTACACGTGGTGTAGTCATTCGCTCCTCCATATCGTCGTCGTTATGTCATAGAAATCGGGAACGAAGTATCGCGGAGTTTGAAGGCACTTCTGAAAATTTGCGTCGTGACGTTCGATGCCGATTATTCGTATCGTTGATTAATTGTTGAAAAATCGTTTTACCAATTTTCAGGGTGGGTTGAAAGCCGCCATTCTTTCCGACGTGATCCAAGGCCTCACCATGGTGGGCGTCTCCGTGGCCATCATCATCCAAGGCGTTGTCGATGTCGGGGGAGTCTCCCCTGTAGTCAACATCACTCAAGAACGAGGACGTCTGGATTTCTTCAAGTACGTCGTCTTTAATAATACCTCAGCTCATAACCAAGGACTGTCCTTAGGACTCCGCAGCCCACTTTTGATAACAAATCCTGATAGTCAAGACGTCGCTCCGCAAAAAAAAAAAAAAAAAATCCGCCGGTTGTTCTACGGCTAAAGGAGCAGGTTGCGATATAAGAAATATATCTAAATCACGATTTGTTAATTTTTCTGCAGCTTCGACATGGATCCCAGGATCAGGGTGACCACGATCTCCGCCCTCCTTGGCCAACTTTTCATGAGCTTGTCAGTCTTCGGTTGCCAGCAGAACTTCGTGCAGCGATACTGCAGCATGAGTAGCCGCAGCAAAGTTGTGAAGTACGTATTAAACTTAGGCAATGTAACTTCCTCGAATTGCGGGATCTGAATACTCGGCAGCTCGTTATCACGAGCCGGACGATTCTTTCCACGATCCTATAATGCAAGGCGTGGAACACGGGACTTGGTGGTGACATCTTGGGAGTAACTTCGGTCGAAAGTGGCTTCCCACTCAGTTTACGTAAACTTGGTATCTCTCACGGTCTCTCGCCTTTTTTTCTCTCTCAACGTGACGAGGAAACTCGCAATAAATTATCTCCTCGCGAGAAAGGCAGTGAGATCATTTGTTGACTGGGAGTTTGCATAAATCTACATGGAAGGCCTTAACGGTGAACGTTGATTCTTCATCGTGTTGAATATTGGATGATCGGATGCAGATTAAATAATGTTGACTTTGGCTGATCTTTCAGGACGATGATGGCGAACATGCCGGTGATCACCGTGTTCTTCAGTTTGTCGTGGGTTGTCGGGATGGTGATCTTCGCCAGCTACGCCGACTGCGACCCTTTGAGTCTGGGATACATCGACAAGTTCGACGAAATCGTGCCGTTCTACGTGGAGGACAAATTCGTGTACCTCCCGGGGCTCCTGGGTCTGGTGATGGCAACTCTCTTCAACAGCGCCCTAACACTGGCAGTTTCAAACTTGAACTCCCTAGCCACGGTGACTTTCGAGGACTTCCTAAGTCACCTGCCGATCCTGAGCGACTTGAAGGACACCCAGCAACTGCGCTTCATCAAGATCATCGCGGTGATCTACGGGTTCCTGATCATGGGAGCGAGTTTCCTGGTGGGAATGCTGTCGGGGGTGATAGAGTCTTCCATGCTGATGACCTCGGCGACGTCCGGCCCTCTTCTGGGAGTGTTCGTCCTGGCCATGCTGGTGCCATGCGCGAACTGGAAGGGAGCCTCGGCAGGCATGATCTTCAGCCACATAACGACCCTCTGGATCACGTTCGGGAGCCTGACCGTGGAGAAACCCTCGGAGACGCTTCCCCTGTCTACAGCAGGCTGCCACAACGATACCTTCTCCAGCCACGTGAGGACGCCGGAAAACATCCTGAGTCTCCTGCCCACCGACTTCTCCGACAGCAGACTGCCCAGCACGACCAGTGCCCCGCACCTGGAAGTGCCCATGAACCCCTTAACCTACCTGTACAGCATAACGTACATGTACTACGCCCTGATCGGCAGTCTGAGCACGGTCATCGTCGGCATCGTCGTAAGTTTGCTGACTGCCGATCCCAAGGGGGACATGTACGAGGACCACTTGCTGCACCCCGCGGCTCTGAAGCTCTCCAAGATATTTCCAGGTCGACCCAGGCTCTACACTGGAAGCACTCGTCTTGGCGACGAGGCGACCGAAAACACCAACGCCGCGTCCTCGGCTACCTCGATCACCAATGACGACAAGGCCACCTCTAGGCGCAGTTTGTGCGACGACAACAAGGTGCACCTAGACGACAACTACATCGAGAGGCTAAACGCCTTGAAGGGCGCCACTCTTGACGTCACCAACGAGATGTCCAAGGGAACCAAGCTCTGACAGAGAGTGCTGGACGTTGTGGAGCTCGCATGGACTCTTCCGGTTCTCACCAGCCTGAATGGACTCGGTTTGGGCTTCGGAAGCCTGGTGCCGGGTTCCTCTCGAAGACGTTCCCGGACCCCACTGGGCGCCCGGGTTGGGATCCTCGAATTGGAGGACAAGAACGTGGACGAGGGAGCCGGTGTCCTAGAAATAGACTGATGACTCCTTGCTCATAGTGTGTACATATCGTAGGAGCATCGAGTCCGATGCGCTGGCTGTGTTACTCGTTTCGTCCCTTGGTGCCGATGGTCCTCGAGGTCCGTTCGAGCTGTCTCGTTATTTGGGGCAGCTCCAGGGACGTGGACGCAGCTCGTTTGAAAACTCTTTAAAGATCCTGTCATGCCGTTCGGGATGGAATCCTAGAATTGGGGCGCCAAGGGACGAATAGGGAACTCGGTAGCCTCGGAGCGGAGAGATCATTTGCTTGTAACGTGCAATCGAATCGAATCGGATACGTCATGCGTGCACGAATTGAGCAAGAATTTTTAATTTTTAGTTCTCTCGATTAATTGTTACACGTACCGTCTACTGGCGATCGAAGTAGACCTATCGCTTCACTTCTATGAAGTGCGACCGAGAGGAATCGGTGTTCGGGTACAGGACACCGATCGACGCTCCTCACTTAATCCCCGAGAGAGGGACGCTAACATCGCGTGTTATTTTCTAAGATGTAAAAATGAAGAGGAGGAAAGTATAGTTGGCGCTGAAATTCATTACGGTACCGAAAACCGCATTTGACGACGAATTCTCCGGATTCTGGAGGAACGATCCGGGGAATCTTTGAGAAATTGCCAGGAGCATAATGCACCTCCGGATCGTCCTGGATCCCGATTTAATCACGAAATGGACCTGCCATTTCATTAGGAAAATTGGCAACGAATGCGTGACGCATTACTGTATAGCGTGCAGCATTCATTCTCCCGGGGCGTGATATATCTGCCAACTGTGCATTAGCGCCAACTTTACCGATATGGATGATAAGCCGAAGAGCTCTTCTCCACTTCGCGAAGCGTTTTGCTTTCCGTCATTTTACTTGCGTTCGTGAAATATTCCCCTATATTTCTGGAAATTTGACTTATCGCCTCGGCCCGCTATCTGCGCCCCTCTTTTGTAATCGGCAAAGCAAACATGTCCGATAAAAAGTCAAGCCCGACGTTTAAGTGGACGCATTAATGCTACTTAAAACGGTGTTTAAAAATGTCGAAACCCAGAATTGCGTCTATGGCTTTTGAACTCGCTTTTCTCGCTTCACTCCTGATATTATTTATTTATATATTGTCATTTTATTGCACTATGCCATTTTACCCTCTCTCGATTTTATTTAGCAAGTCGTCTTAAAATTCCAATTTTCTTTACGACAAAATTCAGAATTTCTAAAAATGGCGGATGAGATCGACGTTGGTCAATTTTCGGATTTTTATGAAAACCGAACCCCGAATTACGGGAATGTTTGCTGCACACTGTATGTTAACAATTTCGTTTTTCTAGGAGATAAATGACCACTTTTGCAACATTACGGGAGATACGGCGAGGAGGGAAAAAATTTGTACATAGACGCAAGTGTGCTCACTAATGCGAACGCGGGTGTATTTTATTTTCTTCGAGACTCAAAATGGCCGGTTTTTCGAAATTCAGCCGTGATTATGACGGAAACGCCGGCTATCCGAAAGATCATTATTCTTACGATTACCTCGTCTCGTGTTACGACAAAACGTGTACATAAATCTGTGTATTGCGTGTATAGCTGCATATAAATATGATTTAGCCCTTTTACAACACGGTCGACGTAATTGATACTCGATTAGGTCTCCCCGTTCGCTTTCTAATATTCGGGGCAGGAATCAATACCTCCAATCAAGGCGGCACCTCGCGTTAAATGAATTATCGGTATTGATTTCTGTTCCTTGAAATAAGCCCGGGTCTCGATAACCATTTCTGCAGAGGGTCTATCGCAGCGAGGCTGTAGGTTGGCAAGAGTCAAAACATATTTTTCCTTATTAATCTTTCTGACATAACTCAAAGTTCCGATACCCTGGCGGTTGCGTCATTTTCGCGTACTAAATTCTCGGCCATGGTTTGTTGAAAAATTGAATAGCAGCCACCTCCATCACGGATTTTGCGCTCCGGGGTGTAGGTTGCGAACCCGCAGGGCAATCTTGTCCGGGCTAGGGAAATTTCCCCACGGGCCCGACAATTCGAAGATCGTATCCCCGGAACTAATCTAGCCGTACTCTCGGCGAATAATCGGAAAGAAATTTCTCACGCTACGGGACGACGCGAGGTCCATTGAGAAAAACATTTCAAGGATCTCTAGGCCGACCGAGTGCTCTTTCGGAGTTCTGGCCATCGGTTTCCGTTAACATTTAGGAAAAACGCGGTGGGACGGGATACAACTCACGTAGCTTCACGAGGGGCTTGTTTTTTTGCGCCGCGATTGCTCGCCACCCAGCAACAGGCGTAGCTCCCCCCAGCCTCCAGACGCGCTACCCAACATAACCTAACCTAACCTAACCTAGCCGGCGAGCTCCCCTTTCGACCAATCAGGGACTGCGGCCTGGAAGGAGACAACTTCCTAGGAGGGGGAGCGGCTCGTAGCCTTGAAATACACAGCCGAGCCTCAGTCCGCAGGCCTGCGCCGTGGGATCGAATTCGCTTAAGGTGTGCTGACGCGCGAAACGTGGAAATTCACCGCGTCGCACATTTGCCAGCTCGGTCCTCCTCAGGATTTTGTAGTTCCAGATTTTCCCTCGGGTCCGTCTGCCTTCCAACCCCCTGGTAGTACGTAATGGGTGGGCAGATATTTCGGGACGGTCAGTAACGGCCATTTCCCCAGGGCGGCCATGTTGGACCGGCCGGCGAGTCGTTGAGGAAATTACGCCGGTGAGTCCTAAAGCAAAAGTTTTACCCGAAATCAGGTTACAGTGGAGGAGACTCAAAAGCGATCGATGTCGATTGGCTGCTAGGGAACCCTGTCGCCTAGGCTGCGACTGGCTGCCATTTTACAACAGTTGTTTTCCGATCGGCCTGACGCCGGTTTTCATAACAAATGTTCGTCCGTCAGATCGACCACCCCTGGGCTCGCCGTGAAGACAAGAAGCTACCCGAGGAAACGTCGACTCGAGATTCGACGCTAAATCCTGTGCATGAGGGCAGAACTCGTCCGGTGACCGTGAAAAGAGTTCATTGAATCGACTGCGGCGTCATGGCGGTGGAATCGAGGTATGTGCCTTCGACCCTCGTCTGCGCGCGCATCGGCGGAGGCGCCGCCATCTTGGCAGAATTAACAGATTACGATTTTAAAGCAGAGATTCGCCGGGGGCCGTGAAATATCGCAACGTTTCTCGGTAAATCTATCGCATTTGTGGACAAGTGACTCGGGAGTAACTGCAAGAGGCTGTAATAATTCTTATTGCATAGAAATGAAAACTTCGGTAAGATATTATTCTCATCTATATAACGTTGCGATATCGAGTAATATTTAATCCCCGACGCCAATGTAGCCTGATAGTGGCCCCGGGCCAAGCGAAATTCATTGGTAACTATCGAATAGCCCTCAGCCCCCATTCATTACCATTGAATTGCATTTGGCAAGCGGCCACTGCCAAGGAGGATTTTCTCCACGTGGTAACCTGCATCGGACGACGTGAAACACGATGCCCATTGATTTGCAATTATTGCCGGCAGTATTGTAAACTGCTTTTTGGACCAGGACGGTCCTCCCTTAATCGTCCAACGAGGGTCAAACTTATTCTCCTGGCAGCCCGCGGAAGGAAAGCAGTGTTTTACCTTTTATTGTTATGGGAGACACGAACGTCCCTAGTGTTGTCGATGTAAGAAAACTCACGTAGCTGTTTGCGACACCGTCGAGCCCCTTCCTGGGCGAGACCGCTTACCTGCTGGCCGACGATGCGTCCACCTGGGTGTCCGGCCGTGGAATGGCGGTCCCGCGAGGAAGTCGCCGGATTATATAGTGCGTTGCCCTGGTATTGATCCCAGGGGGTGGCTCGGGGATGTAAACGGCCGAACGTAGTCGCTCTCGGCAGATAAGGGCCTACCGAGCTGGACCCAACACGGATGGGACCATATAGGCACCTGGTGCACCAAAGTGCATTTCGCTTATAAAACAATGGCATTTGTCCCAGACGCGTTGATCGCCTTGTCTTGCAGATGGATGCCCTGCCGGCTAAAGATAGAGGCCAACGTCAGCAGCGCCGACTACGATGGGATAATCCTGGTCTCTGGGTCTGTTCCTGGTCAGGAGGAACCGGAGCCCTTCAAGACGGTCCTCCACGCCGCTGCACAAATCGATGATGGCCTGGGAACGTGCGGAGGGGTGCTGCCCATCAATCTCCCGGCAAAGAGGCTCATCTACAGCCCCACCGGGCCATTGAACCTGGATTACGACGATGTGCGTAGTTTCGCCGAGGCCGCGGCCAAGGGAGTCAAAAGGTACGTTTAACTCTGAACTACGCCGAGGAACCTGGAAAGGTTGTCCTGGACCCTGACTCCGTTCTTTAATCTAAGAATCTGGAAATTGGAAGCGTGGGGATCGGGCGAGAATTTCGACATTCGGGACCCGAGTCTGGCGAAGCCGTGACTCCAGGATGTGGTTATTCGGAATGCACTTCACGTGTAAGGTGGTCATGATGCTCGATGCCAGTTCCTTCCACTTTTTCCCCTCTGTAGAAAAGTTTTCAACGCCTGTTCTTTCCGCCCTCTTATCTCGTATATCCCGAAGTCTTTCCTGGATATCTTCCTTCTCGTCTGTTGGGAATGTCGCGGTTTTGGCGGATGACCGGAATCCAGGTAGCTGGCGGAATTTCAGACCAGGGAGAAATTCGATACCGGTGCGTCGCGTTTCCCTCGCTCCTTTACCGTCCTACCATCATATGAATTACTGGTGGTCAGAGGATGTGGTAATAATTCATGAGGTCACGCGGAGATCGTAAAGAAGGGAAACAATGGGAGCCGTATCAGGGACTCCCCTTGCCTCCCGTGGCTCCTTCGAGGAGATACAGAAGGAGTCGAGGAGTAGTCTTGACTTTACAATGGATTGGCCGTCTCTCAGGGATCCTAGGAAGTTGGCTGGAGTCCACCTCGTTTGGAACTTCAGCCCTCCGAAGTCCTCTTCCTAGGTATTTATTTCTGTAGTTACGGGAGAGCTCTCCGAATTGTTCCGTCATCCTCGCGCGCTGTTATCTCCTTCCCTCCGGGAAATCTCCAAACGCGAAAGTGCCCAGGTTCACGGGTAGAGAGACTCCATCGAACACCCTACACCGGATCGATTTCACTAGTTACAAATAGGGTCCGTAATACCGAATTAATTAATAGTTTAAAGAGACCGAAGAGCTCGTAGAGGAACGCTCATCACGGGGACATCGGCTATCCGATTTCTCCCCACCCCGGTCTCCGTTTCACCCCTGGAGAAAAGTTGTCGGAGTCCTTTTATCGCCCCCGCGTGTCCCGCGACTCCCCGGGCAGATCCGGATCTCCTAATAGGAAAGTCAGGCGAATCCCGAGGACTCGGTAGATACCCGAGACAGAATCTGAGCCGGATTCCCCTGGCCTCGGGATCGACGGACGCACCCCCAGGATTTGCTGGAGGACCTATGTCAGTGTCGTTTATCCTTTCCGACAGGGCTCTGAAGGCAGGAGTGAAATCTCCCCTGTTGGTCCTGCTTCCGGACGGCCGGTTCGAGAACGTGGAGCTGGTGACTCTTCTAGGAGCCTTGGAGACTCTCTACGTGGTGAGTTCGTCGACTCGTCTCTACTAGCCGGACAAAGTAGATGGGGAAGAGTAATGGCCATCGACAGGTCATGAGACAGAAATTTGCAACACGGGTTCCCGATGATTTATCCGAGCCACATCCGTTGGGTCCTTCCTGGGGCGTGATGCAGCAGGCACCAGGGCAGGATCCAGGGACAGGAAGGCGGGAGTCCTGGCGCCGACGAGTCGTAACTTTGACTCGCATAGCTTCCTCCGGGATCCCGTCCCCCGGGGTAACGAATGCCCCGCGTTCCTGAAGCCCGGCGACCTAATTAGCGAAATACCCTGGCTGCTTGTTCTCCTCTTCTTTCGCGGCTGCGACGTTGCGTGGTTTCGCGAATGCCGGGAGACGTCCGCGGAATTCCAAGGCGGACTTCGCCGTTTCTTCCGCGAACCATAATCGGGGTCTGAAGACCAAAAGAGAACGCTGGAAGGGACGGAACATCGGCATCCGTCCCCGGATCCCGGAGACAAGGGAATCTAGGATGTGATCCCAACCTGGTCCCGATCATAAAATGACCTTGTTTCAGCCCTTGGAGGTGCGCGAGATCTCCCCGGATCGGTGCTACAAAGCCGTCCAGCTAGGCGTATGGAGTCCGATCTGCAGCAAGAAACTGCAGGGGGTCGTAAAGCTGGCCTCCGCCCTGGAGAGCGGGAGATACGTGGCCAGGGACATTGGTAAGTTTCGCCATTAAGTTTTAAGATCGCATCGCGTCCCGGTAAAGGTCCTCGTAGAGCTGGAACTGCGTCGCCCAGGGAGCGCTCTAGCCCCGTCGCGAGTAGAAAAGACACCGGAGGCGTTTCATCTGGCCGTCGTAACTTCGCCAAGGCGATAACTGGGTCTCCCTCTTGGACACGTCCACGGCTGGAGGAAGACCCGGACCCTTTAATTGGGCGCGGCCGCGGAACGCCCAGCTGGTCCCAACTCGCCTTCTAGGGCCATCTTTCTAACGCTCGTGAAATAGTCTCCACCAAAGGCGATTTCTAGAATCGAGTTTCGCGTTTGAAGAATTGGGTTAGGACTTTTTCCTCTCCTTGACAAGGGATTCGACGACTTCGCTAAATTTTGTGACGCGTAATCGATGATCCGGGAGATTTATCGTTGCTCAAGAGGTGTCTTTCCGTTTCAGGAGGAGCGGACCCTGAACGCATGGCTGCCCCGAGGGTGGAGGAATACTTGGCCGAGTTGTTCTTGGGTTCCAACGTCACCATGCAGGTGATCTCCGATGAGGCCACTCTGCTCCAGGAGTATCCCCTGTTCTCGTGCGTGAACCGCGCAGCCTCCGTGATCCCTCGACACGCCGGCAGGATCATATTCCTGACATACGAGCCACCCAATCCCGCCTGCGTCCTGGAAACGGTCATGCTCGTCGGAAAAGGAGTCACCTACGACACCGGCGGTGCCGACATCAAATGCTCCGGCATAATGCCGGGGATGTCGCGCGACAAATGCGGAGCAGCTGCATGTGCAGGATTCGTGCAGGTCGGTGGATCGACCTTCAGGAACCGCGCATCCTTCTGGCTCTTCGGCTTGAACATTTTACGCCTGTCCAACTCTAGGTGGTGAACCTCCTGCAACCACCTACGGTCAAGGTCGTGGCAGCGTTGTGCGTCGTCAGGAACAGCGTTGGCGAAAATTGCTACGTCTCCGATGAAGTGGTCACTGCTAAGTCCGGGGTCAGGGTGCGAATCGGGAACACCGATGCAGAAGGGCGCATCGCGATGGCGGATGCACTCTACCACATGAAGGAGATGGCACTTTGCTCCGTGCATCCGCATATCTTCACCGTTGCCACCCTGACGGGTCATGCGGCAAGAGCGGCTGGAGAAGGATACTCGGTAAGTGTTCCGGAGAAGCCTGCCTTCGTCGTGCTATCTTTGTGGACTGCGTCCCAGGAAAGTATCGAACGAAGACCGACACGCGTCCCTTGCCGTTGCAGATCATTATGGACAACGCCGTGGCCAAGCAGGAGAGCAACGCGGAGAAGCTGCAGGCCTCCGGGGAGATGATGGGCGATCCCATGGAGATATCCAGACTCCGTCGAGACGACTTCCAGTTCCACCGGGGGAAGGCGGAAGGCGACGACCTCTTGCAGGCCGTGAACAAAATGAGCAGCGTCCTCGAGCGCGGTCATCAGGGTCCAGGGGCGTTCCTTATCATGGTGTCAGGTCTGGATAAGGTAAAGTCGCGTTAAGTCTAGGACGATGGCTACATCCACTGCTCTCGATTCTAAACCTGAACTTTCAGCACGGCAAGGGCTCTAAGCTGCCCCTGAAATTCAGCCACCTGGATATAGCGGCTAGCGCTGGTGACCTCCCCCATCAGCCAACAGGTTCTCCCATTCTGTCGCTGGCTGGGCGTTTCCTAGAGAAGGAGATGAAGACTCTCTGCCAGGACGAGTAGATCGCTGTCGGAAAAGTGGCGAATGCTAAAATAAATCGCTCGGCTCTCCTCGGCTTCCCGGATCCTCGATCGCTTTTCTTTCCTTTCAGCACCGTCGGTGTTCTAATTCTTGCTTTTCCGTTCCAGACGTGGCTACGTCCTCGGCATCCGGTTACTTTAATTTCCCTTCAATTCCAGATTTCCATGTTCCCTGGGCACGGAAGGACCCTCTCACGCGAGCATCCAGAAGGCTTGGCCTCTATCATTAATATCTTTATCCAGTCCCTCCTGTCTTCCACAGGCAACCTGTATTTTAGAGTTTCCAACAGAGACGTATTACCTGGAACGCTCGCGGTTTATAAGGTCGGCAGTTGTTTTACGCCAGGTTTGATATCAGTGTCTGGGCGTGACCAGGACTCACGCGGTGCTGGCGAAAGGTAGACGCTTTATTTCTATTCCATCATATTCCTCTTATATGTATTGCACATCCACTTACTTGCATTTATTTTTATATTCGCATGTCTAACGTAGCGTCGCCTTCATCGATTATCGACTGATTTTTTATAATCGTGCATTTAATCTAAGATTACCCCGTATCGAAGTCACATCGGTGCGGAATCTGTTATTTCTTCACAGTGAACGTTACTAGGTACCAAATATAAATGTTGATTGCAAATTAAGAATCTGTAGCGAGATCTTCCCTATCCCAGACATCGTCCTCCTTATACCCACCGTAGGATCCCACCTATGATCGGCTTACCAGAGAATGGAGATCCGACCGCGAGTGGAGATTAAAATCTATTCATGGCGAGCCTTCTAGTAGCTGTCTTCACCCCGTCAGACCGAAAGTAACGTCCGAACCTCCGATCGATTGCAGCACGGTGTGTGTAGCTGCTCCCCGCTGAAGTACACGCACATCGACATGGCCGGCCACGTGCCTTCTGCTCCGAGTACACCCTACCGGGGCAACCCGGTGTTGGCAATGGCCTATTGCTACCTGATCCAGGGCAAGTGTCTCGCCTTGCGCAATGATATGCCCTTTGAGATGCAGTACGTCTGCGAGCTGGACTGCAAACCCATCTGCATCCCTTCCTGCCAGCCATGTCCACCTGCGCCCTGCGATCCTTGCTGCCCACCCTGCTCTTCATCGGGAGCGGATTGTCCCGACCTCTGCCCATGCTGGCCACCGAATCGCCAAACTTGTCTACTTCCACCGTGTCCCGAGCAGGGCTACGTGATAACGGACCCTTTGTGTAGGCCAAACGTCCAGCGCGATGGCCTGAGTAAATGCCCCTGACCACCGGCCAATAAAAAGTCGAAGACCGATGATGCATCTACAACTACGCACGCGAAAGTCGATCGTATTAACCCGAGATTCGGTGGTAATTACCCGTCGTCGAGAAGAATGAATTGAAGTAACTGGGAGATTGCGAGCTAATTACTTAATTATCACTTGATGCTATTGGGTCACGTGGAGCCTGTTCCAAATGGTCGGTCGCCTGGACCCCGTCATCCCGCTCGATACCCACGACTGGAGCCTTCGAGAATCCAGCTTCGGTCGACGCCAGCGCCACTCCGGGATCTCCTCTGAGGTTCGATTGATCCGAGAGCCTCTTTACAGTTGCACTCGGGCGACACTCCGCGTTTATGCATGCCTTTCGCACTAGTGGAACCTGCTTCTCGTATTCCCTGTGTACACTGGCGGTCACGAATGGCTTCCTCGTGTAGCTGTATGCTTCCTCGAACTTATGTACTTGCGGTACCTGATGTATAATGAACTGTAAAATAATTAATGTAATAAAGCAACTTATTGAACAATAACAATGAGTACTTTTAATTAGACGAGCGTGTCTAGCAAACCCTGTAATCGCCTATTCCTGATCCTTGAAAATCACTCGTAGATCTAAGGCACGAAACTCGGTGCCACCTCCTCGGTTGTCCTATGATCCTGTTACAAATCGGAAATTTCAACCCCTAAAATTTTCGCCCGGGAGAAACTCCGTGCCACCTCCTCGGTTGTCCTATGATCCTGTTACAAATCGGAAATTTCAACCCCTAAAATTCTTGCTCGGGAGGAACTCGGTGCCACCTCCTCGGTTGTCCTATGTTCCTGTTAGAAATCGCCAGAGGTGGAACAGGATCATAGGACAACGGAGGAGGTGGCACCGAGTTTCTCCCGGGCGAAAATTTTAGGGGTTGAAATTTCCGATTTGTAACAGGATCATAGGACAACCGAGGAGGTGGCACCGAGTTTCGTGCCTTAGATCTACGAGTGATTTTCAAGGATCAGGAATAGGCGATTACAGGGTTTGCTAGACACGCTCGTCTAATTAAAAGTACTCATTGTTATTGTTCAATAAGTTGCTTTATTACATTAATTATTTTACAGTTTATTATACATCAGGTACCGCAAGTACATACTTATGTTCTCGAGCTCGTTTTTTACGTTACGACTACGTTACCACCACCAGGCAGCACCATGTACACGAGGAAGCCATTCATGACCGCAGTGTACGAACCCAGTGCAGTGGAATCGCAAGGGAACTTGCGATTTCCCCGCTAACCGATCGTCGCTAAGGACGAGAAGTTGGTAGTTCTCGGCTCGACCGCAAGATGGCCTGGCTTCGAGATTCTCTATGGGGATAAATGACCACAGATTAATAACAAACGTGTCACGAGCTTAATAAAAACAAGAAAGAGTCACTAACGAGTAAAAATTATAAATCTTAGCCGCTTGCAAAAGGAGCTTGATGCGTTACTAACCTCGAATTGCACTTGGGCGGTAGAGTAGTGGTATGTGTGTTAAAGTTTTCTTCGGTCTACGGGATGGAACAGAAAAATAGAGTTGAAGTAATGGTTTTAGCGGAATTGAGGTGCGTGCCGTGGAGAAGGTCGGTCAGGAGGAGAGCGATCGATCGCTGGAGGGTTCGCCGCGTCGCCGAGGGAGCGCGTTAACGTCTCCACCGCGTTGCAGAGACATATCGCCGCGGAAACGCGATTAACGGCGTAATGGTTTATCGGGCACGATTCGGTGTTTCGAGACCATTCGAGACATTACTTGCGCGTTCTTTCGAGAAGCCATGACGTCGGCAGTCACGGGATCGGAATTAACCAAGTAAAACTCCTCGTCTTCGCCTTTAAACGGCTGCACTTCGAATTCGCGACGGTCGAACTCTATTCCCGAAGAACGTTCATCTGACCTACCCAAGGATCCAAATTCTACAATCCCCGGCGATTCGCCGTTGCCACTAAGTCCATACCGAAAACCCGACCTCGCGTGCGGACTGGCACGTATCGACGCGGCGCGATTGGAGATCGATGGTGATTCCACGAACCGATCGAGACAAACGGAACTTTCGTTTCGACCTAACCTCCGCTCATCAACCCCAACATAATCTCGGCCCCACCGTCCGTATAAGAAAAATTGCATTATCCGAGGACGACACCCGATTCTATCCCCGTTCTTCCAGCAGCGACCGACTTGCCAAAATATTTCTACTCGATGCGTCTAATTCTATTTCGCGTCGTTATCACCCCGAAGGTCGGTCTCGGGTAGACTGGGACCACGCCCGGGTCGCGGTCATCCTTGCCGACGAAGGAGGCGCGTACCGGAAGCGATCTTCGATAGAAATACGATTCCGGGTAGATCCATCGGCGAGCTAGGGTGGCGCCGCCCGGCGGGTGTTATCGGCGTTATCGGCTCGGAGGGCCTCGGGTCGCAGGGAGTCGGCGGCGCGTCGGTGCTCGGGCAAGGAGGAGAGAAGAGGAGCGAAGAGGAGCGAAGAGGAGAGAAGCGGCAGAGGCCGGGGTCGGCGGTGGGGGAAGCAGAGGCAGTGTGGCGGGGTCGACGGCCGGCTGGTGGCCCAGTGACCGGGACCGGTTCCCTCCGCGGTTCCTCCTTCCGCCTTCCTTGCAAACGCACAACTGCATCATCTCGCTGCCCCCCGAGCCCTGTCCCCTCCCCCTCCCCGACCCGCGGCCGCCGTCCCACCTCCGGCATCACTCTTTCGCACATAGGCGCGCCAGGGCGCGTGCGCGCGCGCGGCCCGTCCGCGCTCGAGAGTTCGCGCCTCTCCCGCCCTTCGCGGTCCTCGATTCCGCGTGATTAGGGCCGCAGACCTGTCGCGGTCGAATCGCCCTCTTCCACCCGCGCAAGGGTTCGGTAATGCCGACTGAAGGGGATCGGAACGTAGGACGCGAGTTGCCCTGGCACTAAGCTAGGGGACGTATCCTCTTTCAGATGCTGGAGCTGACTTGCGGATGCATCCGAATCGGTGCTGGACTTGGTGGAGGTGGACGCGTTATGATTTTTTTTTTACGCGGAGGAAAGGGAGGTGTGTTTTTTTTTTTTTTTCTTAGGTAGGAGACACGAAGTAGGATGATCGTATGATTTATCTTGGGTGCTTTCGGTTGTTGGGTGGGTTTGGAGAGGTTGCCTTTACGCCTGGCCAGAGGTGGCGACTCGATGGCTCCTCGCGACTTCTTCGTCCGGTCGCAGCCGCGCCGCGGCGCCATCGCCAGGGTGGAGGGCAAAGGGAGGCCCCGGAGAACTTGAAATTCCACGGCGTGGTCGGGGACCCGGACACAAGGGCTTGAAAGGAAAAGTAGTCTATGCAACGCCGAAGGGGAAAGGAAGTGAAAGTCCGACACGCGTTGCGTCCGGAGATTTGGTGCCTTCTTCCGTTCCGGCGAGCCTAGCGCTGGGGAGAAGAAAGCCCGGCGACGACGTTGCGTACAGTGGGCGGAGGAACCGACACTTTTCTTTTTTAACTTTCTCCCGCCTCGAGGGAACGCTTCGGATGCGGCTTAGATGCCACCGTCGTATCTGGCAAACGCAGCAAGGCGTGAATCGAGCAAGCGCTCCGATCGGCTAGGTGCTGGAAGGTGCGATCAGGTTCTTCCTCGATAGGGGAACCTATTCCAGGTTCCACCTCCCCTCGGATCCGGGGAACCGACATTTTTCAGACCCTTGGACGTTATCGACACCGTCACCTCTCAATTACCCTAGGGAACTTTGAATTTCGGACACGTCCATGGTGCTCAAAGTACAAAGCCTGGCAAGTGGACTCCATTTTTCTCCGGGATAGTCGCCGCGCTCCGAGGATTTTGCCATTTCCGAGGGAGACACGATTATCTGGAAGATCAACAGGCCTTATAACGGCGCGGCGCTGATGCGGAAGAGGAGAGCGACTGGAAAAAGGTACGTCGGAAAGGAGCCTTTCCGAGGAATCCCACGGGTGGAGTTCGTAGTTCGCGGACGCTACCGTTCTCGAGGCGTGGCGCTGGCGTCGCCGCGAGGGTTAGGCGTTTCCTGGCAGTTGAACGGCCAATTCGAAATGAAAATGTCGCGACTTGGATGCATCCGCGGGATGGCCCGTGATGCATCGGGATGAGTCGCCTGGCCAGAGCGAACTAGGTTCGGATCGCCCCGGTCCGTTAGATCCGTAATGGGAGACGATCGTCGAACGGTAGCGTGTGTGTCGGTGGGAAAAGAGGCAGGGGCTTGGCAAAGAAATGAGAAAAAAAAACGAAAAATGGGCCGATGGTGCCTGCCGCAACCAAACCGCCGAACTACCGAGGCAAAGGATATAACGGTGCCCGGATCGCCCCGGTACAATTTCGGCTGTTCACCCCGAGTCGCTCTCTCTCACTCTCTCCCTTCCTGCTCGCAAATTGCGAGATTCGGGGACGAGCGTATGTACTTATGTGCAATTTTCCCCGTTTCCTCCTCCTCTCTCGGTCGACCCGGATGTCGATCGTGGCGCGCAAGGTTGATCGCATCTCCCACAAGACGTACAAGAATATAGCCAAATACGTTTATTTTTTCCTAATTAATTTCAAGAGTAGCCGAAATCTCCGTTTCTCCTCGAGTAGCTCCTCACCGTATTTGTGGCGATTTTCCACGGCATCTTCTGCCCTGGTCCGCTTAAATCATCATTGGAGGAAACCCAGTCTCGCGTCGGGTCGACACTCTATACGCGCGCTGCATAATCTACGAGTCCAGGCGAGTGCTCGGCGCGTCGAAGTCCGGAAGGTTCGACTACATTTGTATATCCCGTATTCCCGGGTCGGGATTAAGCGATTCCGGGACGGCGGAGTCCAAAACCTCGAACTCCGCACCGCAGTTCCGCAGCGGACTTCGCCTCGCCCCGATCCGTGTTCGGACAACTTCCGGAGGGGTTCCCACTCCCCGCGATCGGACCTACACGACGTTGCGTTTTACGTCCCGGCCGAGATCTTGCCCAAATGGAACTCGGACATTCCGGAAGCGTCTCACCCACACCTCTTATTCGGTCACGACCCATCCCGGGTCCAATTGAAACTGGACTCGGTGGAGATCAAATCCGTGTTGTTTCGCCCTCGTCTCCGAGGAGCCGGCCATATATCCCCCTGATCCCCTCTCCAAATAAGACTGAGTTTCGGGCTATATCTGTCCCTAACCTCACCACATCCGCACCTAATACCTCGCAATACCCAGTTCCGAATGGAATCCAAATTCTCGGCCACCCTATCCCCCCCAAATCTCGCCCTCGCCCCCGAAATCTCCCTTTTATGCCTCCCGAATAGAGTCCTGGTCCTCGCGATCCGGAGCGGAGGGTAGACGATTCTCCACCGAAATTCCGGCGGCTTGTCGCCGGTCTCGATGCTCCAGCTTATTCGCGGCTTAATTGACGTCTCCTCTTCTCTTCGCCTCGTGGCCACGCCGAAACGGCGGCTTCTTCGCTGCTTAATGAACGCCGCGTATCGAGCGTCCGCTCTCCTCCTCCTTGTCCGGCGACGCGCGGCCGCGTATTGGCCT